AAGGAAGGAAGGAAGGAAGGAAGGAAGGAAGGAAGGAAGGAAGGAAGGAAGGAAGGAAGGAAGAAAGAAGGAAAGAAGGAAAGAAAAAGAAGTTGCGTTAGTTGTGTGAGCTTCCTTTGGCGCCAGAGCCTTTCAGAAGCGGCTGCTATTTCACGTCCTTCAGAATTCTTGAGGCATGCCACCTATGGAACCTGCCTCCATCTCTCCAACCTCCCTCCATCTCTCCACTTCTCCTCCCCTTACACCTAAATCCTATCTTCCTGGAGTTAAGAGAGTCAGCCAAGCTCATCTAAGGATGTAGCAGAGAAAGCCATCATGATCTTGTTTCTCTTACATCAAGTAGAACGAGGGGAAGTGTCAGGGATATAGACTTGCTTTTCTCCAATATTTCCTTATTTGGTACACGTCTGCCTTATTCCCAGTCACTCTCTTACCATTGCTATTTATATTGGCTCATTTAGTTTATTTCAAATTTCATTATTCACTCATATATATAAATCCATAATTCATTTTTAAAAATAAGTTTTATTGTGATGTTTAAAGTATACAGCACAATGTAATGGGATACATACAGGTAGTCAAACAGTTGCCACATGAAACACATTCATATCCATCATCTCACAAAGTTGGCTCATTTTTAACTTTGTTCTTGTGGTAAGAACAACTTTAAGTCTGATTTAACAGGAACCCACAGTAGCATATTTTTATTACTTGTAGTGTTCATCTTGCACATTAGGTTTCTAGATATGTCTCTCAATAAATCTGCTACTGTAATGAGTAGAATGTATAGCAAGAATATTGTTTTTCAGATCTTTCTCATGTTGTGTAACAATTTTTTACTCAGACACAATCTCTATTGTTATCACAGGTACTAAATTATGATTATCACTCACTTACTAATTTAACACATTTCCATCCTTGGTGTAGCCATCTCCTGGTCATTATTCTTTCATGCACTCATTCATCCACTTGTTGGTAGGAGAGATGTCAATCATTACGAGTTTGCGTTATGGTGGCCAGCCATCCAGGCTCATGTGTGTGCAGTTCTCGCCCTTGAGTGTCCCCACTAGTGTGTCACCTTACCCGTGAATGAGACATGATGGCTCTAAGGTATGGCTGAGGAATAACATTTATCATAGATATGAGGGAGAGTGCAGCCAGAGGCATCTGGAAGGAGCCAGATTGAACCAGGCATGAGAGGCGGGGGGTGGGGGGTGAGCACAAGAGAGGAAGAGAAGAGAGTGAAAAGAGCCAAGAGCAAGCCAAGAGAGGAGCCAAAAGAGCGGGGGGGGGGGGGACCGAGAACACATGGCTGAAATAGCAGGTTTTTATAGGACTCAGAAGCTGGGGGAAGAAGGCACGGCAAGAAGAGTTGGGAGAAGCCACAGGTACTTTGGTGTGCTAATAGCCACTACAGTTAGCCATTTGCTTCAGATATTGCCATAGTTTCCTTGGAAGCTGACAACCTGTATGGTCCTGTGCGTGCTCAGTAGTCATTCATGCTCTAAAGTGAGGCCAGAAATGGAGATGCTGACCAGGGACCTTTGCAAACAGATGACCATAAGGTCTAGCAAAAGAAGAGAATAGAACCATAAAAGCAGGAATGCACCAAGTTGAGGGAGAGTCAAAGAAATGGTAGGAAAAATTGCTCAAGACATTAGAGGAACAGTGCATTAGGCAAAATGAGTTGGTCTACAGCAAATACTGCTGCACAGAGTGCAAGAAAGATAAAGATGGAAAGCTGTCATTTAGTTGGGTGATTTGAAAGTTCATGATAAAGTTCAAAAGAGCAATTTGATAAGAAAGTAGAAGCTGTGGGCTGGAAAACAAAGGGGAGGCAAGGGCGTTAAGAATGTTTAGCTACAGAGGAAGCAGAGAAAGCTAAGAGGGTCTGGACAAAGGTCAGTAAAAGGCAGACAAAGGTCAAGAAGGGACAGCACCTCTGCTTCTGAACTGCAGAGCTCTGGTCCCCTTTCGGTGATGAGCTCCGTATGCCATCTGCAAGCCGTGGCGCTCCTCTGTGTTGATACCTCTTTCTACAAATCGTAGGCTACAGCAAAGGTTCTCCTCCCACCTGTCTGCTTCCCCTTTTACTCCGGAGTCACTTTCAGTACCAGTACAGATAACGAGCATGCTCACACAGGCGTGTTATGTAGTCACAGGATGTTATTCTAATGACCCAGTCTCAGACTCTCTCCCAGCCACTTCCAGTTGGCAGCCGGTTGCCAGACAGCATTAAAGATTAGCAGAGCATGTGGCTTCTCCTCCTAGAGAGGCATTTCCTCTTCTTTCAGCACTCAGCTTGGTTAGTCACATACACAGGGTCCTTAACTCTTCAGCATTCTAGATATGATACTACCCCTAGAGCTGTGCTGTGGAGCAGGATCGGTTATAAAAGGCCACCGCCACCCACAGGACATTTAGAAGAAACATTATTACTAAGTTAGACTTTCAAATACTACCACCTTCATACCCCCATATAAAGCCATGTCAGCTACCATTAAGTCAAAGGGAAACATTACTGTTGACACATGGGTTTGACTTCAGAGTCCATTAAGTGTGGTCAGAATGAGGAGATTCATCTGAGCATGGTGGCTTCATCCCAGGACTGGAAAGACGAGGCTGAGAAACTGGCTACATAGCAAATTTAAAGTTAGCCTGGACTACATGAAAATTACTACAAAAGAATAAATGGATCCATAAGCCTTTGGAGTCTAACCATTGCACATAAATGTTTTCTTCACTGTTTCCAAAGTTCCTGAGCCTTGTGAGACTAAGAATGGATATGTTGACCTGATGTTGTTCTTTTGACTAGCCAACTTAGGAGACTCACTTAAACTCAATGATAGGAAGTAGTGACCATCGCATTGTTGACTAGAACACATACTGAAATGCTTGAGGAACACTGAACCGATTTGGTAGTAATCCTTATATCTCCTACAAGACTGGAATAGCCCAGGAAGATGAGTGTTGGTATTTGGCGATGTTGAAGAACATATGTATCATGCTAAAACTGTGCACAGAGACCAGTGTTCTCCATTTTTGGATGCTGTGACTTGATTAAAGCACCTACTAATTTTTCTAAAACCTTCACACCAGTGTACATCCTCTCTCTCTCTCTCTCTCCCTCTCTCTCTCTCTCTCTCTCTCTCTCTCTCTCACACACACACACACACACACGAACACAATTACCTGCACACACGCACTGATGCAATAGAAAATTGGTTAGGGAAATTTTAATTTAAACAAAACCTTGCTTAAAAGTTTATACAAGCAAACAGACAAGTCAGAATAGGAAGTATGGCTACTGCAGATTGTGTTTAAACCAAAGCTTGGGATAAGTTATTTCAGAAAACAGTGAGGAGATTTGGGTATAATGAGTTAAAAAAAAAAATAGACGCCTCATCAACTCATTGTCCTCGTACACTCCTTTAGATACACCTCAGAGACCCAGTATGCTTAGGACTACATCAGTGGGACTATTCACTTCCCAAGGGCAAGGGTAGAAGGGCAATGGATTTAAAACTGTCATGTTCCTCAGGTAGAAACCCAGCCCAGGGCCAAAGCCAACAATGGGCCCCTGCATTGGGCTACCCTGCTGTGTTCATCAGTAACAGCTTTTTCCCCACATCTCCAAAATATTGGAAAACACTGTTTTCCAATTGCCTTTCCATTGCCTTCCTTTTCAAGTATGGAGATAAAGATTTCCATCATAAATTTTAAAATTATGATTAGATTTCCAGAATGTTATAAACGTAGCGCTTTCAAAAGCTGTTGTGTATTTTCTTGAAGTTAGACAAAAGTAATTAAATATTAGAGCAAGGTGGTAACACAAACCATAAGCAATGCTTAACAGCAAGAATATTTCTACTATTCATGTTTTCTCCTTAGATGCTGACTCCCATTCTACTTCCTCCTCAGAATTTTAACCTCATAGATATGTATGGATATATATATATATATATATATATATATATATATATATGTATATATATATGTATACACACATCTATCTATCTATCTATCTACCCATTTATCTTTGGTTTTTCAAGACAGGGTTTCTATGTATAGCCCTGGCTGCCCTGGGATCTTGCTCTGTAGACCAGACTGGCCTTGAACTCACAAATATACATATGCCTCTGCTTTCTGAGTGCTGGCACCTCTATTGCCTGTCTAACCTCATATATTTTTAAACATCAGGTCTTTCTTCCTTATTGATAAAAATAAAAGTGCAATAAATAAAAATAAAGTATATTTAATTATCTGGGACCATAAATCTCTGCAGGTTAATTTTTTAATGTCATCAGCATGACAATTATTTTTAGTACACATTTAAGCTATGACAAAGATACTAGAAATTTTGGGTTGGAGAGATGTAGGTTGTGGCAGTTCAGAATTTCCATATAGTAATGGTTTTAGATAGGGAGAGAGGTGAGACAGGAAGGAGATGAGGGAGGGGGCTACAGTTGGGATACAATGTGAATAAATTGTAATAATTAATAATAAATGCAAAAATAAACAATTGTTGGGGGGAAAGCCTATAGATTTGATACATCTTCACAGTATCCTTAGGACAGGACTGGGGAGACTGATGAGAGAGAAATCAGAGGGAAGCAGAAAGTTTGCATCACCCTCCTGCTGGCAATAAGAATTATCCCAATGATTACCAACCAAATGTCTGTGGTTTTTGTTGGTTGTTTTGTAGATGATAACAGAAAGTTTTCTTTTTCATTCCAGGCCGGCTGCCTAAAAGCTTCCTTGAAACCAAGACTCAGGAATGTGTTCCTGGGAGCAGCTCAGCTCCTCTGGTTCAGCGCATTGATCTCTGGTAAATGCTAGGTTAATTCCTCCCCTAGAAGATATACCCCAGGCCTAAGCTGGAGTATTTGGGACTGTAGCCTGCTGTGAGGCATGGGAAACCATTTACACCCAGCATCCTGAGAGAAACACACACCTGACTCCAGCACACTGATCTACAAGGCTTCAGAAACAACAAACAAGCTGCTTTACATTCCCCGGATCAACATCATCAGGCAAGGCAGACAGAGGCCGACCACACCCTCAGCGACTCAAAAGAATCTGAGTCTCTTTAAACGTACCTTTGGGGGCTGGAAAGATGACTCAGCCGTTCAGGCCTCTCATTCTTTCCCTGAGGACCCAGGTTTAGTTTCCAGCACCTGTACCAAGAGGTTTACAGCCTCCTGTAACTCCAGCTCCCAGGAACTCTCCTGCCTCAGCCAATATTCTGTACACAAGCAGTGCACTTAAACCCACACAGGCGCACACACACACATACAAATTAAAAAGTCTTTTTTTTTTTTTAAAGAATAAAAGTAAATGTTTTCTAAGCCAAAGTAAATGATCTGATATACGATATTAATACATTCATCACTTCCTTTAGCAGATGAAAACAACAGTGCAATGCTGGCTGTGTCAAAATAAATATTTATTTTTTTTAAGATAAGGTCTTACTTTGTAGGCCAGACTGGCTTCAAACTTAACTTAAAGATCCTTCTGCTTCAGCCCCCCCAAACCTCCAGCTTACAGGTAGGTACCTCCGTGCGTGCCTGCCTCCAGAGTAAAGCCTCAAGGCAAAAACACTGCCTCAGAGGTGCGAGTGAGAAAGGTGGATACAGGGGAGATCCTTGTGGGGCAGCGGAGGAGAGGGTCAAAGAGAACTTTGTCAACAGGAAAGGAGGCGTTTCCAGGCCTGATTGCTACCATTGTTCACCTCTTCTGGGGAACAGGCCTCTTCCGCCCGGTGAACTTCCTCTGTATCAAAGGGAGCACACTTTTATTTATGTCGTTTGATATCACCCACTTAGAAGGAAAGATCCATTGTAATTCGTGAATGAGCAGATTTGGGGGAGATAATTTATCGGAGAGAAACAGCTCAGAGAAGTAAAGTGCGCGGCTCCCGGTTGGGGGATGTTTGTGATCCTAGCCCTGTCAAAGCCCTTCAGCGTTTCGCTAATACAGCAGGCTTCTCCTGAATGACTGCTGAGGGTCAAACACTGTGATTCAAAGAAAAGACCTGCCACCAAGTGGATACTCAGTCGTGGGGACGGGTCACATCGCAGAAACTGGGATTACAAACGCGGGCCAAGAAGAGACGTGGGGGGACTGAAGGCAGAAAGACAAAGTTTACCTGAAGCCAAAAAGGGAAGCAGAAGAGGGAAAATTTTACCAGGGGAGGGTCGCCAACGTAGTCGGAAGACCGTGAGGTAAGCCAAGGAGGTAGCCAGGCGAGGCGGAGCATGCCTGTGATTCCAGTACTTGGGAGGCGGAGGCGGAGTTCTGGGCCAGCCTGAGCTATGCTGTAAGCTCCTGACCCAACAAAACAAAATAAACAAAGAGTAGGTGTCCTGTAAGGAGGAGAGCAAACATGGTGAGCCTGAGCCAGCAGGAGCCCCCAGGTCACAAGGAGGCGGCTCACTTTCTTTGGTCCGTGGCAGCATCCGCTGATCACACTCAAGTGCCCTTTTGCACAAACAACTTGTGTGCCTCCATTTATGATCTGAGAGTAGACTGGATGACCTCTGACCTCCCCTCTGTCTCCGGTACCTTGGGATCTTTTAACATCCAGAACCTTTTAGAAGGGGGTGCTTTCCTGCTCTGGATTTGTGTACACTTTGAGGTAAAAACAGAAAACACTCCTTTCCTCTAAAGAAACATCAGGCAGAGAACAGCCTTGCTTTTGGCATTCATCTTCTGGTTTGCCGTCCATCTCACTTGCAGAACTAAGCTGAGAATCGGCCTCCGGCCAGCGAGCAATACTAACCCTGTGCTCGTTTCCACCCCCCAGAGCTCGTAACCCAGAAGGAAGTGGCAGCGTGGACCTACAACTACAGCACAAAAGCATACTCGTGGAATGTGTCACGGGCGTTCTGCAGGAGGCACTTCACGGACTTGGTGGCTATTCAGAATAAGAACGAAATCGCTCACCTCAACGACGTCATCCCCTACTTCAGCTCTTACTACTGGATTGGGATCCGAAAGATCCATAATAAGTGGACCTGGGTGGGAACCAACAAGACGCTCACAGAGGAGGCAGAGAACTGGGCGGACAATGAGCCCAACAACAAGCGGAACAACCAGGACTGCGTGGAGATGTACATCAAGAGTAACTCGGCCCCTGGCAGGTGGAATGACGAGCCCTGCTTTAAACGGAAGCGCGCCCTGTGCTACACAGGTGAGGCCGCCCTGAGTGGAAAAGCGGCTCTGGCTCGGTGGTTAAGAGCGCTGCCTGCTCTTCCTTAGAGGTTCTGAGTTCAATTCCTGGGCACCCACGTGGGCAGCTCACAATTGTCTGAGGCTCCATATATACAAATAAGTTACTTTTAAAAACTGGAGAAAACCATCTATTTGAGAGTAGAAGGGACTTCAGTATTGCTCATCCCATCCTCTTTATTACTTCTGACCTGATGCTCAGGAAATGTTAGTTTCTTAAGGCCACAAGGCTTTCAAAAAAAAAAAAAATTACGAGATAGAAAATGCATCGAAAATCACTGATAGAGTGGTGCTATTTTGGTACCTGGCAACAAGGTGCAATTTTCCAACACACAGAGATGACCCACCCCTAACAACCCCATAATTCTAGACGGATTCTGACACTCACTGACGTTTTGCGCCCTTAACACGTAAAGGGGAATATTGCGATGAGATATTAAGTTTAGTTGCCGAAATAATTATCCGCGAGATTTTTCAGGTCTCGGCACATGAGATCATGAGAAGATTTGTTCTTTGAGCCTCTGTTAATCTCCTTCCTGGAGACCCAAAGACACAGACATGCTGTTAAACTGCCTGGAAAACAGTGTCTGATGACACCACCGACTCTTGTTTTCTAACCATCTTGGAGCAAAAATTGGCACGAGGGCGTGGATGCTATTAGTTAGAAAATTGCAATTCATTTTGCTCGACAGGAATAAGTCCTCTGTTCACACTTCTGTTTGTGACTGCACTTGGGGCTCAGTCTGAATACAGCTGTGCCCTTGTTTGGAAACACTGTGTCATCCAACGGGAGCCTGATAGTGCTTCTCTGGTGAAGTTGGGATGGGAAATCAGTCTCCTAAATTTTACATCTAGAGCGTTTTTCACACTGCGATGCATTGGCCTAAGAAGGTACAGACTGAGGGGAAATTCATTACTGTCCCTAAGAGACACCACTGTAATGAATATACCCACGAGTCCTTTATGCACTCGGGATCACTTTATGTGATTCTGTCTGTGTTGTTTGTTTAGCATCAGTCCCTTTTGGTCCTGTGGCACACTCCTATTATTATGAGGCCCTTCACGGGACGTAGGCTGACCCTCTGCATGGTTCCTGAGAGGGTGGAGTCTGTGAACGCCTGTCACTCTGACGTTTCTTGTGTCCATGCAGCCTCCTGCCAGGACATGTCCTGCAGCAAGCAAGGCGAGTGCATCGAGACCATCGGGAACTACACGTGTTCCTGCTACCCGGGCTTCTACGGGCCAGAATGCGAATACGGTGAGGCTGGAACTTGGCTGGTGTTGCTCCAAAGTAACGTTGGTCTTCCCTGAGAGAGGATGCAGGAGAGTAAACTCTGATGGAGTCTCTCTAGCAAGAAATGACCAGTGGCAGCGCCCCCCCAGCGCTGTCTGTCTGCCTGTCCCATACATTTGTCTCAAAACACCTTTATTCTTGAGCAGAACGTTCACCAGTATTTCAAAGAGTAAAAGAGAAATGCAAAGACAGGAAGATCAAATGAAAGCCTTGGGGCTAAGGAGATGGCTCAGCCATTAAGAGCACTGGCAGCTCTTCCAGAGTAGCTGGGTTCAATCCCCAGCACCCACATGATGGCTCACACCTGCCTGTAACTCCAGTTCCAGGATTCTGACACTCTCACACAGACATATACGCAGGCAATGCACCAGCGCACACAGAATAAAAATAAACATCGAAACTTTTTTTTTTTTACAGTTGATTTTACCTATTCAGATAAAAAAACTGGTGAGTGAATTGAGCTGTCAAAAAAAAAAAAAAAAAAAAAAAAAAAAAAGAAGTGATTATTTTCTAAGATGGTGGCAATACGAAGGAATTGGATTGAGATGGAGGGCTGGAGTTAGGAACCTAAAAAGAGAGAGTGAAGAGTTACAACGTGCTGTAAACATAGCAGAGTTTTTTTTTAAGTGTACAATAAGAAAAAAATTAAAAAAAAAAAAAAAAAAAACAACCAACATTTGTCCCCTGCAGTCAAGGAGTGTGGAATGTTTGACGTCCCGCAACACGCGCTCATGAACTGCAGCCACCCTCTGGGGGACTTCTCTTTCAACTCACAGTGTGCCTTCCGCTGTGCTGAGGGGTACGAACTGAGTGGACCCCGTAAGCTGGAATGTTTGGCTTCTGGAATCTGGACAAATGAACCCCCACAGTGTAAAGGTATGTAGACCTCACACGGAGCACCTGGGCTGGGAATAGCTCTGGCCCCAGAGTGTTAGAGCAAGTGTCAGGACATTGGGATATACAAAATCTGCTCTAGCCCATCTTAGCTGGAGCACAGAGGGAACTGGCCACCTTGTGAGAGGCCGTCCTAAACTGTCAATTTTTAATTTTCCTCCCATCAGCTACTGAACTAGATGGTATAAATATAGAATGGGAAAGCAGCATCAGCCTGTAGAAAAGCAAAAGGCTGATTTTTCTATGATCAAAATAGAAAAATCTACTCTTTCCCCATCTCATATACCATAAGCAATTTCAGAATGGCACCATTCATACATATCATGCCAGAGGGCAAATACATCAATGAATGGACCTTCAGGGATACATCATTCATATATTTTATATAAGAGGGCAAACGCATCAATACATTAGACACTAGCTGACCTTCTGGGACAGACTTATTATAATACACAAAGCATAAAGAATGTTAAGGACAGAGCCTGGAGGACTGTTTTACAAGGTTCAGGTCACTCTGAGGACTGGAACTCCATGTCCAGACATCTTCCCAGCTCCATCTAGCTTCCACAGGCAGCGCCAGGCTGTTCTCTGTGTGTGTGGCTTCTGTCCATCCTTTCTTTATCATTGGTTTTCCTGTTCAGCCGTGCAGTGCCGGAGCCTGGAAGCTCCTATCCATGGAACCATGGACTGTGTGCACCCGCTTGCTGCCTTTGCCTACGGCTCCAGCTGTAAATTTGAGTGCCAGCCTGGGTATCAAGTGAGGGGTTCAGACACACTTCACTGCATTGGCTCTGGCCAGTGGACTGAACCATTACCAACCTGTGAAGGTAAGAGTAATATATTTTTTTTTTTATCAGCTTTTGATATAGCCTAGAAGGAGTCATGCAACCTTCTCTGGGATTGTATTTGTTCAACTTCCGAGTGTCGTGATAGTTCTCATCTATAAAATGGGGCTAAGAATCGCCAGGTGCATTTTGAGAATTAAACATATGAAATACACCCAATAAAATAGCAAGTATAAGCAGGACATGGTATCACATGGATGTAAGTCCAGCACTGGAGAGCCTAAGATAGCAGGATTTCTGCAAATTAAATGTCAATCTGGACTGCACAGTGAGTTGAAGGCCAGCTTGGGCTACATGCTGTCTAAACCATAAATTAAAATGAAGAAAAGACAAAGGAAAGAGAAGAAATGGCAAGTGTAAAATACAGAGGATAGACTTGAACACTTGTTTAATTCAGGTTCTGCCCATTTCAACCACATCCTCTTCTTGTCCCACCAGCTATGCCTCTGCAGGGCACTATCCTATATACTTGAGAAGGAGTTAAAGTAGTAGCTGTGGGGATAATGAGAGAACTGGGGTCACAATCTCTGGAAGCGGACTCTGCAGAGGAATAAAGGAACCAGCCTTAAAGACTAGCTGTGGTACAATCCCAGGCGATTACATAACACACGGAGACTGAACTGTGTGCTGTTGCTTCATCCCTTTGTCTTCTATGGCAGAGATGGGGGAGAGAGAGGAGGAGATCGAAGGCTGGGTTAGTAAATCCCCAGCTGGATGACAAACCAGGCTCAAATACTGCTAGCTGTGCGATTTCTAGGAAGGTCTGGGGCAATGGTTCCGCGGGTAAAAAAAAAAAAAAAAAAAAAAAAGGCTACGCATGCGTGAATACCTGAATTTGGGTCCTTGGGATCACAGTAATACACAAAAAATACAGCGCAGGGGCTAGGAGAGCCCATGCAAGGACTCCCTTACCCCACAATTGGGGTGGACAAGGGAAATAATGTCCAAACTGAGATCTGAAGGGTGAGCCAGGCAAAGAGGGACATGGAAGGGTTGTTTTCCTTTTGGACAAAGAAAGCTTTGAGGTTTTGAATGTGTAGGCAAGGTAGGCAGGAAAACAGGAGCATCGTCCAGCAGACCCTTCTGAAAAAGACGTGGTATCTATCCCCTCAGCCATTGCATGCGCACCTCTGGAGAGCCCCGCGCACGGGAGCATGGACTGCTCCCCGTCGGCAGGAGCCTTTGAGTACAACAGCAGCTGCACTTTCCGTTGTGCAGACGGCTTCAGGCTGGAGGGGAAGGATGCCGTTCAGTGCGCTGACTTGGGACAGTGGACGGCGCCAGCTCCAGTCTGCGAAGGTACTGTGACACCGAATCTCTGTATTCGGTGGGCATTGTGGGCTTTACACTACTGCCATCCGCTTGTCTGTCGGACATTCACAAAGGACCTGGGATGCGCCAGGCTCTCTGCGTTTGGTGCCAAGGAGCAAAACAGCGGGCAGAGCGAGTTTTAAGTACAGTGTTCACGGCAGTACAGTCACCACGAGGGTTGCTTTGGTCCACACTTTTGGAGCGGGTTGAGGAGATCAGCACTGAGGAAAAAGGACGATGTGTGAGGAACACCAAGAGACCGTAGAAAAGGAATAGACAAGGCAGTTAGTCTGGGTCTCTCGTTTCCTGTCGGCAAGCTTTTAGGCTCTCTGAGTTCTGTGACTTCCGCTAATAAGAGCTTGACCTACTTGTGTCACCGATAGTTGTGAGTCAACGTTTCAAAGCCACTAACGCTGCTGTCAACTTTACAAACATAAGGAAAGCCATGACAAAACAGTTATTTCTAAATCAAGTAAGACCTAAGTCTGTGGTCTTATTTTGCTAAACGACCCTCTCATAGTACTTCATATTATCAACGGTTTGCTCTAAAATGCAAAGTGAGTAGTTAAACGGAAGTCCCTGGGATTGCCTTGTTTGGCAGAGGGCACCTACACAAAACCACGTTCCAGAAGAACATGGTAGCAGCTTCGCTGGTGCTCTTCATTAAGTGTGTGAATCCTTAGGTCTGTGTAGACCCTGATTTTAAAACAAGCTCTTGGTTCTCCAGAGATTTGTGAGCACTTGAAGAGATGGGTGTATATTCAGATCCATGGTGACACCATCCAAATAGTAAAGTCTGGAAACAAGTGAACATCAGCAGATGGATGGATAAACAAAATCTAGTATTCACATACTCTAGGATACTATTCAGCCCTAGAAAAGGAATTCCAACATATGCTCCAAAATGGATACCTTAAAGACCACGATCATCCTAAACTCAAGTAATCTGTGATTCTACCTATATATGCTGTTTAAAGCAACAAAATCATGGAGGCAGGAAGTAGAAGAACAGGGGAGAGGGAAAGAGGAGCTCCTGCTAGTGGAGTTCAGCTTGAGACCATGAGGAGTCCTGGAGGTGAGTGGTGGTGAGGATTGTATGACAGTACAAAGGCAAATGGCCCTGAACTAGACACGAATTAGCTAAGTGGCAAATGGCAAATTTTGTGCTGCACGTATTGAGCATGATATAAATATTGGAAAGAAAAGCAAGCGCTGGGGGCATAAAGGTCCTTGCCTTATGGTGGTAAAACAATAAGGATGATTAAATGTGCTGGTATGTACTGTCTAGGAGACACAGACACGCTAAACCCTGTGACATTCTTTAAAAGATCACAAGGAATTGCTCAAGCCGCTTTGTCCGCAGGCAAGTAAACATCCAGAGCAGATGGGTGGATATTTTCTTAAGCATCTGGAATCGAAGCCTTGGTAACTCCTTTTCTAGTCCTTGCTGGTGTTTGTGTGCCAGTAGTCAAGGTCAGCAGCGGCTGCACAGCCTTCGGGCAGGCCCTGGTGTCTGTCCGTGGCTCTGTAGCTGCTCTCGGCACTAGCAGCCAGGACTTACTGAGCACTTCCCGGTGATCTCAGACAACCTAATGCCAAGAGGTAGTGAAAGCTATTGTTCACACTTTGGAAAAAATACAGACTAAGCGTTCTCTCTGTATAGGACTCTCTTGTGTATTTAAAGATCATAGTATAGTGAGGGAGAGTGAGAAGGAGCAGATGGGATGATGGGGATGAAAATGAGTAAGGTGCAGTTTTATATGGGTGGGTGTACACATCTGTGTGTTTGTGTATATAAAATGTCATAGTGAAACCCATCATTTTGCATGCTAACACTTTTACAAAAAAAAAAAAATCACCATTTGATCATGATCACTCAACATCATATAGAGATACACCTCCAAAATCTTTTGCCTGTGAAACACATAAAATTCAAGAACCATAAATATTCCTTTCATGAATCCATAATTTAATTTCAGCCCCATTTATTTGTTTTATTCTTACAAACAATGTCTTGGCAAAAAAAACGCTCTGAGCTGATTTTTGTTATGCATCTTGATTTTATGCTTTTCAAAGATTCTTGAGCCCAAGGGTATGATAACTTAAGATTTATTTATTTATTACCTAACTGTTCTATACTAACTCATCCAACACCAGTTCAAACATTTTTCCTTGTAAAATCCATGAAGTATCATTGACAGTAAGTGACAACTTTTTATCTTCTAAGTTAAACAAGCCCAAATTATGAATCCTTAAAAGACAGTGATCAGTGAACTGAGTCTTCCAAAAGTCAAGTAATCCGTGATCACACACACACACACACACACACACACACACACACACACACACACACATTGTTTAAAGCAATAAATCATGGAGACAGAAAGTATAATGATATGGGAGAGGGAACGAGGAATTACTGTTAGTGAAAGCGGAGCTTAGCTTGAGACCATGGAAAAAGTCCTGGAGGTGAGCGGTGGTGAAGACTATGATAAGACGAATCCAAATGACACCAAACTAGACACAAACAAGGCTGATGGGCAAAGTTGCCAACACTCTCCTTACTCCCTGCCTTTCTCACCCCTCAGCCTTGCAGTGTCAGGAGTTTGCCATTCCGAGTAAAGCCCGGGTGAGCTGCTCGGACCCCTTTGGTGCCTTGAAGTACCAATCAGTCTGCAGCTTTTCGTGTGAGGAAGACTCGGTCTTGGTGGGAGCAAGTGCGATACGATGCCTGGCCACCGGACACTGGAGCGGGGCTCCTCCAGAATGCCGAGGTGAGAAAGTATTCCCCATTTTCTTGGAGGTGAATTGGAGGCACTATCCTTAAAGGCAGCATCTGAGGGGGTAACTGCATAGGATCTACCTTGAAACCAGCTGGAAAACGAATGAGTACTCTCACTAACCCCTTCATCCTCTATCCCAAGGACCCCAAACACAAAGCTTATCAGAGGCTAGGACAATATCTTGAGTGTCAGGATATTTGGCGATGGATACTAGCAAGGCAATGACCTTTGCATTGTCCTTATCAGAAGGTACATCAGGAGTGGCAGGCTCCTATCATGAATGGTACTCATTGACTGAGCACAGTGCCCGGAAAGAAGATGGAAAAGAGAAATTAGCTTGGAGTGTTTGTTCTAAGATGGAACCGTGGCACATCCTGGATGAATGATAAAGGTGGAATTACAGAATCTAGGTGTAAGCATTCTCCAAGACCTGTATAATAGTGGAGAAACACGTTTAGGATAGAGCGGGGAGGACCTGGGAGAGGACTACGTGCTGGGAGCTGGAGGTTAGAGCACTCTCAGGAGAAAGCAAGGAGCAGCCGCATTAAGGCCGTGTATACCCGCGGTTAGATGTGGTGTTAAAAAGCCAGAGTGCACTGCGGGCACCATAACATCCTGTGTGGAGCAGAGCTGTTCCAGTCACCTGACCTAGTGAATTCGTGGTTTTCATGGCTTCCCATTTCCATTTCTTTCAGTGTACCCAATACTCTAGCCAGATTTATGACCAACACTTTTAACAAAGCAAGATTTTCATTTACAAAATATACAGAAAGATGAGAAAACAGAAATTGCTCTCAGTCTAGCAAAAAGTGTTTCTGATATGTTCCCATCCAATTTTTTTCCTTCGTAATAGTATTTTTATCGTGCATATTTGATTTTAGCAATATACTTAATACATGCAATATGAAGTATTTCTGTATTATTTCAATTTCTGGGTAAAAGCAAGCAGGTCATGTTTTTCATAAGAGGAAACCACTTGCTATTCAGGACACACAGGTACACACACACACACACTCACACACACGCACAAGTATTCACCCACAGCATTGTAAAGCCAGCGACGCATAAATGAATAACTAAACTAATTAATTAACAGTGTAATAGGATATCCTTTGTGCCAGGCATCAGAACCTACGGCAGGCTGCTGAAGTTGGGGTTGAAAATGAAGGGCCGGTTCTGGGGAGACCAGAGTGAGGCTATGAGCTTCCCTCTTGAGTTTTCATTCTCACTACACCGGTGTCCGTACAGCTTGGAAGAGGAGCTCACAGTTCCTGAGCAGGGTTATCCGAGTGATCAGACCCTTCCAGGAAAGCCACACCACTCATTGCCCCACTGTCCTGCCTGTGGGTGTTCACAGCCAGGAGGTTGCCACTCACCCCAGCTTCCTGTGACCTTCCACTTCCCTTCTGCGTTTAGCCCTTTGTTTACTCTGAGGGAACTTTCTCCTCTTCTTGCTGGGTGCACATCAAGTGAAATACCCACATGTGGTTGAGGGCAGGAAGGTACCACGAGGCCTGAAATCCACAAGCTATTGTGACACTTCCGAGAGGGAGTGTTATCAGATTCATTTCCCTTGTCATGGTCCCCACAGCTCTCTGCATGCATCCTTGCAAAGTCACAGGAGAGCTGGAAATGACTCCACCATGACTTTACCAAACCAAGGACCCACACCCCTTTACCCTTGCATTTCCAGCTTTCAGCTTTCTCTCTCTCTCCTCTCCTTCTCTCTCTCTCTCTTCTCTCTCTCCTCTCTCTCTTTCTCTCTCTCCCCCCCTCTCTCACACATACACGCAGAACACAGGAAGACTTTGCAAGTGGCAAACAATATCTCAGTCTCTGTATAAGTTGACTAGATTGGGAGGAGTATTGCTGGAGAGGGTGAGAAATGGAGGAACCGAAAAGGTGCTGGCAACACCTTAAAGCTTCATGCTGTTGCATTAGCTGCCCGATAGACAGCTGACAGAGGACAGCTGTACCACCACACGCTGAGCAACCAGGGTGAGCAGAAAGGAAGTCCCTGACACTGTGCTTACACTTACTCTTCCCTTCTGAGTGTGTCAGCATGATTCAGCTGGGCTTCAATTGCTCTGTGAATTGGGAGAGAACTGTCTTGACAGCTACTGACACTGGCGTTGAGAATCTAGTCACTCTTGATCTGACTTGTCCTTTTTAAAATTTTGACATTCAGAGAGGTTAAGTGACTTGCCCAAATGATTACCAATCCAAGCCAGTCTCCTCTATCTCTTCACACTTGTCTTTCTATATGGTGTCAAATAACTGTGAGACCTGATATAACTCTTACTGGAACTTGAACCTGGAGAATCAGTTATGCCTGGCCCTGTAGATTGAGACTTCTGAGAAGAGATGGAAATTGGCATTCACAGAGAACTGATGAAATATGTGCCTGCCTTATTCTCTTTTTACATTTAATCATGGAGTGCAATTTAAGTGACTTGCTCTAGAGCTGAAAGTACTGTAAGACAAGAGTTACAGCTTTTCATATATTAAAAATAAAGCAGCAGCCGAGGCTGAAAAGGGGTCACTGTCCATAGCACAAGCCAGGATATAGATCCAGGTTCTCTCCACCACCTGCTGGGGAAGAGAAGAAAGAAATTCACCCCATTTTTCATCTCTAAGTTCTTGGCATTGTTTGCTGGAAACATCATTAGGTTCGTTTCTCAAGAAAATATCAGGGGAGCGCCTTTGTCTGGGGCCTAATGGCACCCAAAACGAACCATACCACTACCCCTCCAAAGGGCACCAAAGCCCTTTCAGAATCACCTCTGAAACCCTGTGTGGGTGAGAGCTCAAGTAACAGCCAACTGTAGGCTGCAGCTGTCACCCAGTTCCCCGGCTTGTTAAAGAGAAAAAGCCAGAAATGCAAATTAGAAAAAAAAATCACCTTTAGCTAAATGGTAAGCAGAGACAGACAGAAAGCAGTCATACAGAGAGATGGGGAGAGGGAGACAGAGAGAGGGAGGAGGTAGGGGAGGAAGAGAGAGAGACAGAGATGAGTTTCAAAGTGCCAAGCTCTAACATCGCTCACCCAGTCCTACTTGTGCCTCCCACTGTAGCTGTCACCTGCGTTCCCTTGCTGGGCCCTCACAATGGAACCATGACCTGTGTCCAACCTCTGGGAGGCTCCGCTTACACATCCACATGCCATTTCATCTGTGATGAAGGGTTCTCTCTATCTGGACCAGAAAGATTGGATTGTTCTCCATCCGGACACTGGACAGGCACCCCACCCTCGTGTGAAGGTAGGCACATGGGTCCAGGCACGCCATCCTATCTATCTTGTGACTTCTCAGACACCATCAGAGAAGGAAGATTCATCAAGATGTTTCCAAGTTAAACAGGCATGAGAGTCTAGATCAAAAATCGTTCTCCCCAAATACCCTTAAAAAAAATTGAGTAAAACGTTCCAGTTGTAACAACGCTTTCACATTATCATAGCACATGACATCACCATTCCAGAATACTAAGGGAAGGCAGTACCATCTACATGCGACAGATGAGAAAGAAACATAGACTCCGAGGTGAGAGGACAAGGCCATCACCATTCACAAACAATGGTACTCAGCCATGCACGAAAGCACTTCTCTCGTAGAAGGACTCTCTCTCCTTTTCTACCATATTCTCCGTTCTCCACCCATTTGTTCCTGTACTCACCCCACTAAGTCTCAGACGAGTAGGTTACTTAGGGATGGGTGTTACCCTGGCTTTCACATTTCCTTCTATTTCTTTATGGGCTTTACACTCGTTGAGAGCAGAAGCTGTGCTACCTCTAGTGTGTGTGTGTGTGTGTGTGTGTGTGTGTGTGTGTGTGTGTATATGTGTGCAAAAAAAATGATGTTGAGAGCCTTCGTTATTGCTTTCGACCTTATCTTTTAGACGTGTCGCCTTTCACTGAAGCCGGGACTCAACAACTGGCTATGCTGACTCGCCCACAAACTCCAGGGGTCTCCCTGGCTTAACACCCTCAGTGCTAGATTACAGATGCGTGCGACTATGTCTGGCCTTTACACGGGCCCCAGAGATCTGACCTAGGTTCTTAGGCTTGCCTGCAGTTTACCCACTGAGCCACCTCCTCGGCCCCTCCTCCATCTTTCTATCACCTGCAATAGTAGGTGGAATCCAAATGAGTGTGTATCAAGCACCTGTTGCGCTGAGTCTGATCAGTTCCTGGTAACACTCACACAGGCGTGGCCCCGTTGACAGTGTGAACTGGTGGAACTCTCAACATCAGGTGAGGCTGGACCTCACCTGTCCTTAAAGCTTCCTGGCAGCACCCGGCAGGCACAATGCATCACATATACTAGAAGCATGTGGTATGTTCTAAAACAGGAATGCACTGTAATTTATAGTTTCTGTTTGGTTTCAAAAGGTTCCTTGCCCATGTTGATTGTTCAGTGTAGTCGGAGTTAGTAATAATGAGACCAGCACGTCACAAACATTTTCTTATTCAGTCTATAAAAAACCTCTAAAGAAGCCATTGGTACCTCGCTCTTAAAGAGGAAGAGAAACGGGGTGTTAAAAGAAAGGGCACATTGCAAGAAGGGCAGAATGACTGGCCACAGGGGGTTCTACCTTTACCACACTGCCACCTACCGTCAGGGCTTCTAAAGCCTGGATCCAGGCGCAGGCTGAATCAGAAATTTCTGAATTAGAAATGGCAGTGACTGGTGATCAGATGAGAGACTATGCTAAGATATTATTCATTCATCCCTGCATTGATATCTCAAGATGCTGAGCTAAAGGGCATTAATGCTACCACCTGCTGTCAAAAAGACATACTACAAGCCTCGCCCAGGCCATGTGCAGAGAGATAGTTTATGCCTGCTTTTGTTCCTTATTCCATTATTTCTCACTCTTTATTTCATTTATCCCAGTAACATATTCATATGCAGTATTTTCCAGATTGTACTTTAAAGGCAAAAAAAATCAAATTTCACTTATATATTCCATTAAAGTTTTACATCATTAATGTAGCCAATTCGGTTGCTAAACCTGTGATCTCCCACACCTTCTCTCTATTACTTCCCAATCCTCTTTTATCCTCAGGAGGAATGTACCTCCCACCTGTGAGCCCTGACTCTACCCAGGAATAGCACCTCTAGTGGTCCTCAGTATTGTCAATCTTGTCTGATTCTAATTTTAAGATATTTCTATGTCTGTTCTTGCTTTGTTACCTACATTTACACGGTATATTTAGGGCAGCGATTCCTTTCCATTTTTCCAACCAATCTTTAAAGCTTTAACCCCTAACTCTGCCTAGGAACCCTGCTTCTCACTCAATATTCCTTCAGAACCCTAGAAGGGACCACAGGGGCTTGAGTTCATCAGCAGATGGGAGCCCCGGCTTCTCTTTTCACTGTACAGGAAGTTTTCCATTTGAGGGGGCGGTTTCCACAAGTATTTCCATTGTGGTAAGAAAACTGGTTCTCTGGGCACCTTGGGATGTGAGATCTGCCTATGTCTTCCTGTCCCCTCCTGCCCTTACTGCTCAGGGCATTGGCATCTTCTCCACGAGCCTAGCAGTGACTTAGGTGCGTCTAATTTTCATGATGCTGTCTATGAGTTGGATCGCTTATGTCCAGTTACTATGTTCCTCTTGTTCCCAGCTGTGGGTCACCTCAGTGACGCAGACTATTTAGCTCTCCTCATCACTAACAAGGTTCCCCACTCACTGATCCTCTGGAGACCAGGTCTGGCCACTGAGGTCAGCCCCCGATGCCGTGCTTATGAGACCAGGTGTTCTATTCACCTGCAGCTCCATCCTTCTGCCTTGTCTGCTCATCCAAATCCAGGTTCTGAACCACAGTGAGCACGTGACCCTGAGCCCTGGGATAGTTCCTTTCTCTATTTTTCTTCATTTCTGTTTTAAATGGATGAATACAAGGAGCTAGGAGACATCCACAAACAGCCTGTTACTACAAACACCTGTGCCAATATGCCAGCATACTTTTTCATGAGGTGGCACATAACAAAAGAGTCTCAAGAACCAAAATGACTAAGCAGAGCGGACCGGACATTACCTTAGAAATGCATTGGATTTGAAGAAACAACAGCCACCTTGTTTTCAATAATTATTAATACATACTAGTCGTATGTCAGATAATTTAATAATGAAAAGCATATAAATCTAAGATATATCTGTATCTTCAATTGCCTGCTGAAACAAGTTCGGGGGAAGCTGGGGTGAGCCCATTAGAAACTCATTTGTTCTGCTCTTTGACCTGCACCCCCAGAGACGCCTACGGTGGGAATCATGTTAGACAAGATGAACGGTCGGGGGTTTCAGAAGCTTTACATACAGTGGTTAAAGGAGACGCAGGGGATGATGATGCGGTGTTTGAGTTCGGACAACAAGCCGATGAGCTCACGGAAAGCTGTTTCACCTGTGGTGACTGCCAACAGCATGAGAGAGACTGCACCAGGCTTGCATCCTGGAGAATGGGTGGGACTTAGCAATCAGATGTGGAAAGAGACAGGGCATTGTGAGCCAGGAGCAGCTAGGAACTTCCCGTGAACTTGAGTGCCTTGACTGGGAGATTTGAGTTTTCCGCTGGCATGGAACTACGATAGAATTTTTTTTTTAATCAGCTTCGGCGTCCAAATGGAGGAAGTGTCTCAGATAGAGGGAGTCTGTATGGTTTTAGGTGTGTTGAGGAGATGGGAAGACATCTAAAGGAAGTAGTTCAACCCCAGAGGGAGGGCAGAAATGAAATCTCAGACTGTGTCCAGCTGGAGAAGATAGTAACAGGAGGAGGCTGAAATGTCTCTCAAGCAGAGAAACTGAGCCCGCTCCCTCCCCTTTATGTTTGTGTGTGTGTGTGTGTAGGCTAGACACCACCTTCAGGTGTCTTTCTTAATCACTTCCCACCTTACTTCCTGAAACAAAGTCCCTCACTAAACCCGGCATTCACCACTACAGCTAGACTGGCTGGCAGATGAGCACTCGGAATCTGCTTTTCTGTCTGATGCTGATGTTTCAGGAGCCTCTGCCCAGCTTTCACACTGGTGCTAAGGATCCAAACTCAGATCCTCCTGCCTGAAGAGCAAGCACTGTACCCACTGGGCAGCCCAGCCCTGCCAGCTGCCTTACTGAGACTGAGTACTTGACTTTCATATCCTCATGACCTGTCCCTATACTCCCTTTTGCAAACCCATCCTTCCCTCCTCCTTAAGGGAGTGGTGGAATACCCACCGCTTAGCAAATGCCTGACTCGGTAGTCCATAACCATTTGTCAACTGAGGAAAGAATAAACGTTGGGAAACACAGAATGTCTGAATAAGCATAGATAATCGTTGTCATTTGATACTCCAGCCATCAAGTGTCCGGGAATCTCCGCCCCAGAACAAGGCAGCCTGGATTGTTTGCACACTCACGGAGAATTCGGTGTTGGCTCCACCTGCCACTTCTTCTGTAACAAGGACTTTGAGCTGGAGGGGTCGAAGGACGTGGAGTGCACAGTTTCCGGAAAATGGTCAGCTCCTCCACCAACCTGCAAAGGTAACGATGTCCTCGGCAGGGAAGCTGTACTTCATCAAGTTGTGCACAATGTAACACATAGCTAGCTTAAATGTGGCCAGGACACATTACAGGCTTAGCGAAGTGCGTTCAACGCAGTTGTGGGTTTTAAAACTTTCTAAGAAGCGACAAAACATACACTGATCCTTAGGAAGAAAACTTTGCTCACGTCTTTCAAGCCCATTTATCTCAAAGATCTCTGCTGGGCCAATCGAGTGGTGCTTTGTACTTCATTGCTGACAGTGCTGGGTGGCGGTTATGGGCCCAGCTGTGTGCAACAAGGAATCAGGATGTGGAGAGAGCAGGCCTCTTCATCCTGTCATGCGGCAGGTTTCCGATCAGGCCAGTGACGTCGCTTCTTCTTCATCTTTCACATTGACCCTGGGCCGGGGAACATTACATGTCCCGACAAAGCTGGCAGCTCGGGCAGTTGTCTGCCCATGACGCGGCTGTCTGTTGTGTTGCTGGATCTCCCTGGCAGCTTTCCTGCTGCCTCCTCTTGAAAAACCAGCAGTAACACCAACTCTGCTCCTTCCTAAGTCAGGACAGTGGTTTTTAAGGGGAGCTTTTTAATACCACCTCTTCTAAGTCATTTGTTTATTTGTGTGTGTGGGGGGGGTGTATTCGATGTGTGAGCGGTTGTGAGTCCCATGTGCACGCAGAAGCCAGAGGAGGCTGGTGGGTGTCTTCCTCGGTGAATTAGTCCCCACCTTATTTTCTGAGACAAGGGCTCTCACTGAACCAGAAGTCCACCTTCTTGGCTGGGCTGACTGGCTCTCAAGTCCCCAGGTGACATTGTCTCTGCCTGCCAACACGGGGGTTTCAGGTACATACTTGGTCATCCTTGGCTTTTATGTGGGTACTGTGCGTTGAACTGACGTCCCCTTGCTTTCAAAACAAGTATTCTCACCCACCAAGCCATCCCTTTAGTCCTTAAATAATTTTTCCCATCCCATTTTTCCTACCTGAGATTAATAGATTTTCATAGCTTCCCTGTTATGGGAGAAATGGGAGGCGGTTATTTCATGACAGTCCTGGACTCACTTTGTAGACCAAGCTGACCTCAGACCCACAAAGATCGTCCTGCTTCGGCCTCCTGAGTCCTGGGATTACGGGCGATTACTGGGATTGCTGGCATTTCCACACCCAGTTCATGACAGTCTCAATTCGGACATTATCCTTTGGCCTGCAAACATACTGAAGACTTTAAATTGAAATATTTTCCTCATGGCAGGTGCAACATCAGTTCCTTTCCCAGAGGTGCAGTGTCCTGCTCTCACTACTCCTGCACAGGGAACAATGTCCTGCAGACACCCGCTGGGGAGCTTCGGTCCCAACACCACTTGTTACTTTGGGTGCAAAACCGGATTTACACTGAGAGGCGCCAACTCGCTCCAGTGCAGGACTTCAGGACAATGGACAGCAGTGACGCCCACGTGCAGGGGTGAGTAGGGAGGGGCAGGGAATTCTGAAGCTGTCTTGCTGGGGCACTTGAGTAGGCCTCTGCCTGTTTAAATTCCACCCAACCCTCACAACCGCAGCAAGCACGTGCTTCTTCACGAAATCCACAACAATCCCAAGACAAAGAAATGCCGCAGCTCGTATTCAAGTTAAATCTGATTTCCCAAGGTTCGTTTGCTAGCCACAGCTTATGGAGAATAGTCTAAAGTTACCTGAAAAAAAAAATAGTTTATAGGGGATTGTGATTTCCCCTTCTTCCAAACTCCTAGTGCCCAGCTTCGAAAAACACTAAATAAGTATTTTGTTGATCGCATGCTGTCACGGGCAGTGAATCACAATGTATTGATAACAACACACAGGTTCAGATTCAATAGTGGTTTTGGAGGGCAAATTTTGTGAAGCAGCTTTCTGGAGACCAGATCAATGCATTAGCAGATAGGTATTTTATGATGCCATGGGTCGTCCTGGCCCTTCAGCTAGCAGTATTTCAGTGACTGTTTTGGTGAGGTGTTATTGGAAGAGCTGCTGTGTACTTTTGGGTGTCACTGACCCCCTCTGTGACCTTCCCCATCTCTTCCATCCGCTAAGAATGCCAGTCAAGTTGAAAGCAAACCAGAGTCCTGTTTGCCCTCCTTCCCCACATTTCTTCCTCATGCGCTCCTTCCCCCCACCCCCGCCCCTACAGCCGTCAAATGCTCAGAACTGAACATGGACACAGCAGTAGTGAGGAACTGTTCCAATCCCTGGGGGGACTTTAGCTACGGATCAACCTGCACCTTCCACTGCCCAGAGGGGCAGTTACTGAATGGCTCTGCAAGGGCGACATGCCGAGAGAATGGCCACTGGTCAGCTTCTGTGCCGACCTGCCAAGGTACGCTTTTTCCATCACCTTGAAATGGAAAACAGAGCTCCTCTTTCCTTCCTGCATGGTCTCTCATGGTGGCCTTGCTTCCCTTCACTGCCCCCTTGCTTGAGGAATGTTTCGCCACGAGCGCCAAAGGATGCCTGGCTTTATACAGAACCCTTGGGATGAAGCTGGCGGCTGTGTGGAACCCTGCCGTTCCTTTGCATTCTTTAGATCTGTGAGACTAAAAATTTCCCACCTCTTTTAATCTCTGCTTAACACACCTTGACACTTCAAAATAAGTTAACCGAGGAGTTCCACTTGGAGTCCTAATTTGCTATCTCAGACCGTTATTTACCATCTGCCTCTAAAAGCACCTCAAGCCTTTTAATTAGACTCCACCTGTTTGCAAGATTTATCTCAGCTCCCTACTTCTTCCTCCCTTACTTTCCCTTAGAAGTTATGACTGTTTCTGTTACACATCTAAATCTTTGGTTGATGAAGATAAATTACCCGATCATTTCTTTCACTTACCCAAATGCCAAGCACGGGCTGTTTGTATCTGCTAATGAATTCCTTTCAGGGGAATCTTTACCTTGTTCACTTTAGAAATCATGGTTTTTAATCAAAAGTAATCAAAACATTTAAGTCCTCCTTCCTATGCAGTGGCAGCAGATTACTGACGTGGAGACCTTGCCTGCCAGGTTATTGGCATTGGCAGGCCCTTTGGGCAGGCTGCTTGAAGCCCTGTCTCAGTTCTTGGGATGCCTTGGGGAGGGATGGCTGGTCTCTGCTCACCACACTCACGTGGAGCATGTGTGTTTGTGTTTTAGCGGGGCCACTGACGATCCAGGAAGCTCTGACTTACTTGGGCGCTGGGGTGGCTTCGACGACAGGTCTGGCAGTAGGCGGGACCCTCCTGGCTCTGCTCAGAAAGCGTCTCAGAAAGAAAGGTAAAGACAAAGGAACCCTCTTCATTTTTGTGTGTGTGATTTTGGAGGGAAGTGATCAAGTCAGCAGTTTCTGTTTAGCAACACTTTGTGAAAGCCCTGACTGTCCATTAGAATCACCTGTAGGAACTTAAGAAAATACGGAATTTCTAAATTTTTCTTTGTGTGGGTGTATGTGTGCATGTGTGCGCATGCACGCCTTTTGCATACCAAACCAATGCTCTACCACTGCACTGAGCTCTGCCACCAGCCATTACATATAACGTCTTCCAAAGCCTCCCCTTAAAATTCTGATGGCGCGTCGGAGGGCCCCTGGAACCACCAAAACTAACTGTAAACATGTCAGGCCCCTTTCCCTCACTCACCCCATTTAATAGACATTTGCAAATAAGCCTTTTCAGTGGTGGTACCTGAGGTTGAGGAAGCTATAGTAGCTTCCCACTGAAGGAGAGACAGGTAAGTTAAACAGTTCGCATACCTAAGTGCAGTATGCCTTTAAGAACAAAAATATAGTATAGACATTACGAGACCATGGAGTCATGAATGTTTCTTAGGTCAGACTGGCACAAAGCTTAGCTCTAAAGTTAAAGGACCTGGCCAAGGTGGGGAGGTGAAATGGAGTTCTAGCAGGGAAAATTGTACATGAGAACCATGAGCGCATTAGACAGTAGAGAGAAGTGATGAGTTTAAGAGTGTCTGAACCCTCTGGACCCACAGACCAGTCAGGAGGAGGAGCTGAGGGGTGAGAAGTCACTGCTTCAGTAGCGAAAACGCTCTTAAAAACCCTCTCCAGCAGGTGTGTGAGGGTGGCGAAGATTCAAACCTGAGAATGACCAAATCAATGAAGACTCTGTCTGAGAAGCTTCCCCAGCCTGTTGTCAGAGAACTTAGGCCAGACATAACAGAAGAGAAATGCCCAGTACTTAGACTTGCAAACATCTTTTCTCAATCTGCTCTGACTCATAACCTGCCCAACTCATAACCTGCCCAATGTTCATGGCTTCATGAACATTTTTCTATAAACTAAGGAGGCTCTTACTGTTCCTTATAAAAAGTAAGTAGGGCACCGAGAACCAATTGATGCTCAAACCTAGATAACAGAAAGGAGCTATGTTAGACTGCTCCAGACCTCTCTTTCCATTGAGGCATGCCAATAACTAATACTAATTGCTCATGACATGGAATGTCCTGTGCCCTCCTGTCACCCTCCCCACAAAGCCTCCATTGCATTGAGTGTTTCTCCAACACTCTTGCACACAACCTCCTGTGAGTGGAAGATTGGTGAAAGCAAAGGGTAATTTCTTGCTGGTGGGAAAGAGGTGATACTAGTTATGAAGAATTCCTCTGTGAAAATGTGTGCTCACTTAACCAGATCAAGAAGGCAGAAGGAAGAGTTCCTAAAATCTAATAATTAATCTCTGGAATCATGTTGGGAACTGCATACTGACCCTTCAATTTTTGTACAAATTCGAGGTTAGAAAAATACCAACAGCCTCTCCTTTTTCTAAATCTCTAACAGTAAATAAATATATGAGTTGGGGGGTGGCATTTCCTGGAATCAACCCAGTTTGGTTTCCAATGTCAAAATGGTCTATTGTCAAGTAACAGGGCAGTGCTGCAGCCATGTCCAAAGGTTTAACTATCAGTCTGTAGTTTAGATTAAGACAGGAGATACATTATGGGGGAGGGAAGAGGAAAGCATCCACTGTAGTGGCGTTATGGGTTGATTTATAAAAATAGCATGCTAGTCGAAGACCAAGGGACTAAAAATCTGAATGCAGCAATAGAGAGCCCTCAAGTACCAATGCTGGAGACCTCAGAGACATGAGGACAGGGTGATTTTTGTTTGTTTGTTTGTTTGGTTGGTTGGTTGGTTGGTTGGTTGGTTTTTGTTTTTCAGGAGATTGTTTTGTTTTTATGAGTTTTTTGAAAATTAAAAAGGACAATGCAGCTAGTCCTGATGAGACCTGATAGGCTAGGGTCAGATGGAAGGGGAGGAGGACCTCCCCTATCAGTGGACTTGGAGAGGGGCATGGGAGGACATGAGGGAGGGAGGGTGGGATTGGGAGGGAATGAGAGAGAGGGCTACAGCTGGGATACAAAGTGAATAAACTATAATTAATATAAAAATTTTTAAAAGAAAGAAAAAAGGCAAGAGGACTTTGCAATTAAATATGATAATATTCTCATTTTACCCTAAAGCAAGTACTGTCCACCTTTCTGCACATAACAAACATAGCTGAAAACGAGACTCCTAGCTTTCTTCAGTAATTTCTGACACAGGGACTTTTCACCTCATCGTTTACTTTTATTCATGGTTTCTCGCTTATTTCAGATGACGGAAAGTGCCCCTTGAACCCTCACAGGTAAGCCAGAAATGTTCTGTGTGAGAACAAATTTTTTTTAAAGATTTATTTATTGTGTATACAATTGTGTTTGCATGTACACCTGCACGCCAGAAGAGGGCACCAGATTTCATTTTAGGTGGTAGTGAGCCACAATGTGGTTGCTGGGAATTGAACTCAGGACCTCTGGAAGAGCAGCCAGTGCTCTTAACCTCTGAGCCATCTCTCCAGCCCGAGAACAAATTTTGTTAGTCTGCCTTTCTAACTTGCTGTGTCAGAGGGAAACTGTGCAAATCTTCCTCCTCTCTGTAATAAATCTCCTGCCCTTTTTTTCCTGTCCTGAGAAAACGCAGACAGGTAATATATACCAGACAAACATGGTGTTTTAAAAATCAATATGTAGGGATGTTTTTAGGCCCTGGACTCTCCCCTCTGTTTTTCAGGTCATTCTCTCTGAGGTCTTACTGTGGGTCCACATTTCCTTACTTCACATTTTCTTACCTCACTGGTTAAAAACAATTCATAGATACCTTCGTTATAGTATTTAAAAGATGAAAATAAAATGGCCAAGTGATGTATGAAAGCTAAAGCTCAAGGGTCACACTAGTAAACGCTTGGAGGCCGTTGACGTTTGTAAATCTCCATGAGTTGACGGCTCAGAAAGAGACAGTGTGCTCCTGGGAAAATACTGTATTGGTGTAATTCACGAGGCAATGACATTTCAAAAGATGAAAAGCCCCACTTACTCTCTTTATCTGAAGTAATTAAGTTCCAGGCAGCCTTTAAGTCTGAATAGTGCTATTCAAAGTTTTGTATCTTGTGCTTTTGAACTCTGTAACATTCCTGACTGAAAATCCCAAACCGACAGTAGGGGGCAGTACTATCATTCTGTAGAAGCCCTTGCTCAAGGATCAACTAGCAAGTCTCAGAATTTTGTAACTGTTTCTTCTTATCAGGCAGAGCCTGCAACCCTTTATGGGGTGATTTAGGTTTTCTGCACAGAAACCAATAGCAACAGTGGTGTATGTTGGGGTGGGGATGTGGCTTGGTGGTAGAGCACTTGTCCAGCATGCATGAGGCCCTGGGTTCCATTCCCAGTACCGTGAAAATGTCTGGGGACAAAGTGCAAATCAAATTCCCCAGAGCTCTCAGCGGGACCTCGTGAGGTGCTTTCCCATGTGCTTTTCTTATTAAAATAGAATTCCGGGGTAGGTGGCAACCCGTTGTTTCTAGAGATACTGTGAGCTGGCTGTTTGGAGAAGTGAGCATTTATTTCATAGTAGATCATCTTTGTGTTTCTGTCATCTTCAGCCACCTCGGAACGTACGGAGTCTTCACTAATGCTGCATATGACCCAACCCCTTGAGGTGAGCTCCATACGGGGATATTATTGAAGAAAATAGGACTGGAGGGGAAACGGCGAGAGTGTAAAGCTTGAATCTTCTTTATATCATATGTATTAAACTTTAAGTGTGAATTCCGATGTCAAGCCATGATGGAAACCACATTGGCAACAAGTATGTGTGACAGTGGGGGGACAAGAGAGTCCACCCAGGCATTTCCATTCCCTCCGAGATGAAAGGCTCTGGCGGCATAGAACTTGCTCCAGGACGTGTGAGATCTCAGTGTTGGCAGCCAAGTGGTGCCAACAGCGTGGGCTTGCCTCAGAATCCTGCTACCTGAACAGAAATCGTGTGAAACCATCTTTTCTGATAGTGTAATGAAAAGCTCCCCCCCCCCCCTTTCCGGCTGGTAGACAGGGTAGAGCCTAGAAAGAGGCAGCTCTCTCGAACACCAGGGGTGAAAAATCTCTCTTTAACGAAAAGATAGTTTAATTAGTTTTGTTTCGTTTTCAGAGACCTGGTCTCCCATCGCCTCATTCAATCTCTCAGGATTCTGCACGCAGATACCAAGCTTCCGGTCAGACTTGACCTTAACCCCACAGCCTTTGCTGCGGTTCTCTCTAATTAATCGGACAGGAACCGAGGCAGCGAAAGGACTGTGGATATTCCCACCTCTCCACCCACCCCTTCCTGCTCCGCCCCTCGCCTTCCTCCAGTGCAGCCACAGAAATAGGAGCAAATGTTTCTGCTGTGGTCTGTGGCTTTGACCTTGCTGTCACTGAAAACGGGAGTTAGTCCACGGCACTGGAGCGTCTGAATCACCAGGCCACCCGACTCTGGGGAACCAGAGGTCTGCTCTCTCTTGGGATTGAAGAGCGTTGCAGGGCAGGCAAACCTCTAGCTTAAGGCAACGCCGGCTGCGTGATCTCCTGGGACTTCCGCCGATCTGTGTGGTTGTTTATACCCCTGCTGCTGAGACTTTCTCACAGAAACTTCCAGATGGTACCAGAGACCACAGAAGATCGAGACCGGAGCCAAGGGGCCACGTCTGACTGCATAACTTCCCTCCGAAGGCCAATGTCTGAATGTATAATTCAACTCTCCCAAGAGCCATGCTCTTCGTGTTTTGTCCAGTAAGGTCTGTGTATCTCACTCTGTCTACCACCGATGCAACCACAGTTACAGTTGTCCAAATAAGAGCTGGACTTTTCAGTGTGCCAGCAAATATATGTCATGTGTCCCCTGTCCACAGGAAAAAAAAAAAAAAAATCAGAGGATCAGAGAAGGTCTTCATTGCATTACTGTTCTGCAGGAAAGAACAGATTGCTTTATATGTAATTTAATTTACATATTTAATAAAAAAAGTCACTGAAAATTACATATGGCTTGTCTGTAATTGATGCAAACATTAGGAAGTCCAACAGTTGCCTTGCCGTGCTGCAGTGAAATTCAGTGGTCACCATGTAGCCTAGATACACAAAAGCAGATAGGCAAGCAAAAAAATGAAAGCAGTGCAGAGACTTGCTGCTCTAAAGTTTGTTTTTTTTTTTTTTCTCAGATACGTTGTCGATAGCATCTAATTTGTGCACGGGCATGTGTGTGAGAGAGAGAGAAAGAGGCAGACAGACAGACACGAGAGTAGGTATCAGAACCATAGATCTCAACCTCTCAACCCCGTCTCCCATGTCAGAATTTGCACTTTGAAAAAAACACCCAGAGGATTTGGACAACCCTGGGAGTCCCTGGTATGTGCACAGGAGTGTAAGGCGTTGCTGTTTCTGCTCCTGAATGGATTAAAATCTAGCTATGGATACAAGAGAATCTTGAAAAACTAATAAAGGGTAGTGAAAAGGAGTATATGATCTGAATAGATGGAGTTCATGAACCAGAAAAGTCCATTTGAACCCAGAGTCAGAAACAAAAGCAGGACACCTGACGTTATGAAGAACCCAAAAGCAGAGAGGGAAGAAAATGGGTGTGGGTGATCTTTTTAATATGGTTATGTGTGCACGTGCCTGTTAATAATTTCTTGTTGGTGCAGGGTCTCAGTGTGTAGCTTTGGCTGATCTCACGCCTCAGACTCAAATTCTCCTGTTTCAGCCCCTGTGCTCTGGGATTACAGGCGTGTGCAATCGTGCCTCACTTGAAAAGGGGCATTCTAAATTGACTGAATAATATCAGCGAAGGTACAGAAGCCAGAGTCGGGTTAGGCAGGCTGCTGGGGAGCCCGGGTACTGCCAGATTATGATTCACTATACTGGAAGCATAAAGCATGGATAGAAACAGAGTTCTGGGGAACCTTCAAAAACAAGGCTCCATGGAGCAGGAGAACATAAGTTACGCATGGAAAAGACCGGAAGCTGTAGCCAGCTAGGCAGTGGGGGACCATCCAGTTTACAACCGTGTTTCTCCTCCCGATAATCGGATCTAGGAAAATCAGAATTGCAATCCTTATTTTGCAGATGGCAAAAGTCCTCTGGAGAGAGAAAACAATCGGCCCAAGACCACCCAGCTAGCGAGCATCTCAAATGAGTTCTCCCGGCCCTGTAAGCGCTTGAGCTGGTGACACGCCCTTACCTGGTGGCCTGTGCTTTGGTAGAAGCGCGATTGAGAACGCTAAGCTGTTGGTGGACTTGTCCTCTGGCCGTTTTCTGTGCCTGGCAACCGCACCGTGTCATTTTCCTGGGATCAGAGGACGGGTGCTGGGTCTTACTGACGCTTGGAGATACTGGCTGGCAAACCTAAACTTTGACCTCCCCGTAAGGGTGGATGGGTGGGATTATTGCTCCCACCTACGGTGAAGAAGGGGAGTGACCTCAGCACGCCCCTGCCTACGCGAGGCACAGCAGGGAGGAGAGGCAGGGTGAGCTAGCGGCCGCAGGGGACAGACACTCTGTCCTGCAGCCTCCCAGTCCTCCAGGGAGCTAGGACAGACAGCGCACAGCAGCGACAGAGCGCACAGCAGCAACCGAGCGCTGAGCGCTGTTGGCTTGGCGGTGGCAGCGTGCCGCCGCCGCGGGGCAGGAAGGGGGCCATGCTCATAGTCTGCCGGCGCCTCTTCGTCCTGGTGGTCCTGGGCACCAGCGGGGCGGGCTGGGGCAGCCACCCGGCAGAGGCTGCGCGGGTAAGACAGTTCTACGTGGCCGCTCAGGGCACCCTCTGGAGCTACCATCCTGAGTCCACAGATCCCAGGTAACTCGGGATGGAGTCCAGGTGGGCTTTTGGGGAGGGAGAAACGGAGGAAGGGAGGCAGGGAGAGAGGGAGGAAGGCAGGTAAGAGAGGACAGAGGGAGGGTGGGAGGAAAGGAGAGAGAGAGGAGAATAATGGGTATAAATTTTGCCTCTACTACTATAATTTATTACAGTGAGAATGTGGAAATGGATGGATGGTGCCCCCCCCCGCCCCCGTACTGTTTGCTACCATGTTTGTTATTTTAGTCTATAGATGGTTTGAGATGACCAGCCTCAGGGCCCTCTTACCCGTTCCTGCGCGCATTCAGTTACAGCCTTTTAACAGTCTGCTTTTTTGTTTTTTGTTTTTTTTTTTATTTTTTATTTATTTATTTATTTTTTTTTTACTTTCTAGTTACATAATAGTTATTCCTTGTAGACATAGGCTCATCTTCTAAAGAAAAAGATTTCACCATGTACTTCATTATAATTTTGTCGCCTTCCTATAACTGACTTTCAAAACGTTGGTTCATGGGAAGAGGACACACTTGTATTTTCACTTCCTCTTGACTTATTCCTGGCTTCATTTTTTTTCCCCCCCTCACTTTGGAGGAATCACTTCCTGGAATATGGCTTATCCTGGATATTTTGGTCTGTCCTGAATATTACTCATGTTAGTAATGACACAATGTAGCCATTCAAAAGCGTGTATAACTGAGAAGAGGTGTAAATCCTATCAAACCTACCTTTGAGTTGAAAAAAAAAATTGCTGATTGGAAGGCTAAATGCAAACCTTCCTGAAGTTACCCAAATCATAGTTCTACTCTACATTAACTGCGGCTGGTGTTTTTATTTTAGATGGTAAACCTAACCTCCTAATTGACTCATTGTTTCTTTTAGTTGGGCATCAAAGTTTAAGCGATTGTGAAAGACATGTTCCTCTTTTACAATTGCAAAACCAAAACAGCCAGCCAAAAAAGAATGTAATATTTTGAAAGCAATGTGTAACATTTTATTATAAACGCATTAAAAGCCTTTTGTTGCTGTGGTGGTGGTGGTGGCTGTAACTGGGTTATTCCGGAAGGCATTACATTCTATGTTGGTATTATTCTAAAATGAAGTACCACACAAAAATGGTCTTAACGGTTGCATTTTCAAAATGATAATCTAAGCCACACCTACACTCTTTGGAAACTGCCGTTAACTGAACCCCTAAAGAATATAACATTATTTCTAGCACCAATTTTCCTACTTAAGTTAGAACGCAGACTTGGTGACTATGTTCTGCCTGGGATAGGGCACAGGTAGGTATAACCCAGAGGCCGCAAGGTTGGGGATGAACAAATTCAGATTGAATGTCCAACAGGAGAACTCTAGCTAACAACAGTGTGTTACATGGGCAGGTCTTCCCCTGCTAAGGAAAGAAAAATGGGTAAATTACTGTAGGGAAGACTACTACAGGAGGCTCTTCCTTCAAGGTTTCCGTCACTCCTGTGAAATATGGTACCACAGTAACCAAGATGCTTGACTCCGTTTACTCTAGAAATAGAGAATGGAGCTGAAGCCTCCTGGGTCTGGATAAATCGAGGAAATGGTTTAACCCTCAAGATCTCGGCTATGATGTTTATCATCTGCAGCTTCTTAGGAAGCTACTTGGTCTTTTCAGTGTAGGTTTTTGGTTTGTTTCCAGTATAAATCCCAGAGTGTTGCCTTATTGCTGCCTCCCTTCTCTCTACTAGAATCAGGCTCCAATAAATAGACACCAACTTACCACATTTTCCAGTAGTTCAAAACTATATAATCAAAGTGAAAAAATTATATCTGATTATTCAAGTAGTACAAAATTGTATAATCAAAGTAGAATTTTTTTTCTAAATGATATCTGATTGAAAAACGGTTCACATATGTACTTCTCATTGACTTGTATTTTTTTAACTTATACCTGAAGTTTGAGTTTGCAAGATGGCCTTAACATCTTTTATAGAAAAAGTGATTTTGAAAAGCAGAATTAGAGCAGCATAGGCTTGCATTCATGGAAGCATGAATATTGAGACAGACTATCTTTGAAAAAAAACCAATGATTATTCCATTGATTTCACTTGTTATCCAAATGTACAAAACTTTGGGCTTTGGAAAGACAATACAATACTATCTTTGTACTCACATCCAAAATCTGAGTACATAGACACCCCCTTTTCTGGGGTGGGAAGCGATATCACATATTACTTTCAAGTTAGTTTTTATATTTTATTTCTAGTTTGAATTCTAAACCTTCCTTCAAGAAAATTGTCTACAGAGAATATGAACCATATTTTAAGAAAGAAAAGCCACGACCTAGCACCTCAGGTAAGCCTGAAATACATTTTTTAATTTATTTTTTGTATTGTGGTTAGAACCTACATTCTAATGCATGCTAGGGGAAAAAAAGCCTCCACTGATCTACACCTCTGGTCTATATATAAATTTTTATTCTGAGACAAGATCTCAGAACTCTGAACTTAATTTATAGCCCAGGACGACTGTGAATTGTGATTTTTGTGTCTCAGCTTCCCAAGTAGCTGGGATTAAAGGCCTTCGCCACCAGACACAGCTTCTGTTTCTTTTAATTTTAAATATAATTTTTCATGGAAAATATTATCTTCTTTACTTAAAATAGCCACATTGTGAACTGGCCAGGTGGCTTAATGGCTAAAGGTACTTAATGCCAAACCTGAGGACCTGAGTTTCATCCCGGGCCCCATATGGTAGAAGGAAATACCTAAGCCTCTCAAGTTGGCTTGCAAAAACATTTAAATACTCACTGTTATCTTCTTGCTAAGATGTGTGATGTTTTTAATCAAACACTAGCTACTTAATATGTATGCCAAGATCCACGGGGAATGTGGGATTTCTTCAGAGACGACAAAGTTTAAACCAAACCGGAGTTCCCCTGAGCATGGGGCCCTGTGGAACTGAACAGGTCACATGCCCACACAGCCAGTCTCTAACCTTGGTCAAGAAAGCCAAACAAAAAAAGTTTCAGTATTTGAATTCCTATGTATTCATCTAACAAACCACAGGCAAGCACCTTCTGTGGGCTTGACATTAAAGTAGGCACTGTGAATTCGAGTGCAGAC